GGGAGCTATGCCGAGCTCCTTGGGCTATGCCGAGCTGCTTGTGGCGAGCTCTGTCGAGCTGTCTGGCTCCTTGGTGGCGAGCTCCTTGGAGAGCTGCCTAGCTCCTTGGCGAGCTCTTTGGTGAGCTCCTTGGCGAGCTCCTTGGTGAGCTACCGAGCTCGTGGGGTATGCATGCCGTTTATCGGTGGGCGTCTTATGGGTTGCCAGGTCGGCCAGGTCGGCCAGGTCGCACAGGCCATGCCAAGCTGCGCGCAGGCCGCACGTCAGGCAGCACGTAGGCCGCGTGCAAGCCGCCCGCAGGCCGCGCCAGGCCGGTGCCCGGGTGGGACACCAACTTGGTAAGTTGTTGCCTGGGTGTCGCCTAGTTGTCACGAGGTGCCACGTGTCGCAATTTCACTGGAGGGCCAAATCTGCCCTCATCAGTCACTATTTACCAGAGAGAGAGAAAGAGAGAGAGGTTAAGGCATGAAAATTACTCACCAATATTAGAATAAGTTATAAAATCTAAAATAAACTCAATTTATTGATGTATAAACCATTCAATACATGTTTTTAGACTGTAGAACAATATAAATCCTAATCGAACTAAGAAACCAAAAAACAACAAAATACTACTATCCTACTTTAATTCAAAAAATCTATACTAATGTAATTACTCTAAAACATTGAACATATATTAATTCTAACTAGACAAATTGGACCTTGTGATCGGACCCAAGAAAATATAAAAAAAAAAAAAAACTGGTGTCAAATTCAGCCCAAATCCCAAGTGCCATCTTTACTATCTTGACATGTTGTAAGGCTTTCTTCCTTCTAAAATAAAACCTTAGGAGTGTTGATTGATCCCTACCAGATATTCTCCATGGTGTTCCCTGGTTACATGTTTTGGGATTCTAAACAATTTGTATTCTTTGTTTCAGGTTTTTGATGTTTTAGTGTAGAGATCCTTTTTTTCTATGATATCAAAAGGGTGCATTTCTCAGGAATAATATAAATTTAGAGAGGAAGTATGGTTCCTTAGAAAGAGAATTTCTTGGGGATTCATTCTTGTTAGGTTTAGCATTCTTGTAATCTCCTTTTTCTTTGATATAGTGGAAAATTTTGATCATTTGTACCCATGGATGTAGGCACCTTGTCAGGCCATATAAAATTCCTTCTATTCTGTATGCTTGGTTCTTTTTGTCTCTTTTTTCATGGTTTCATTTTATCCACACAATCACGTTTATTTTTTCTTCCTTATGTACTAGCATGCAAAAAAGAAAAAGAAATAGGCTTTTCTGTGGATTTCAACTATACTAGTTCTTACATTATAGAATCATAAAATATGATATAGGAGCCACTATGTCTCTACAGTGATGAGTGAACTACAACTTGAGGAACAAATTTGAAGATAAGGGAATATCTAACCTAATACATGTACCACTTCAGATCAGGCAATGGATATCTTTAAGAGGACTGGCCAATAATGGAGATGGAAAAAACAGTAACAGAAAGAGATGGTTTCCTTGTTAAGATGAAAAGAGGCTCATAAAATCCATCAAACATGGATTGTATGTTGAACAAGAGAACATATAATCCATGTAATTAAATCAAAGGGCCACCCGAATATAGAGTTTATTCGGAGTAAGATTTACGTGATTGGACTGTTGGCTCAAAAATATCATATGGAAAGAAAAAAGTAAGGAAAATTTTTCAAAGTATTCGTTACCTAGGAAAGGAAACTGCTTATTTTAACCAGGCATTAGATTTAAGCTACAAATCAAAATAGAAGAAACTAGCACAGTGATGCAGAATGTAGTGCTAAACCATTAAAAGGTGCGAATGTTCATTTTTCTTCTCATAGGTTGCTATCAGTGGTTCTTTTTGTCCACGATCCCCTTCTCTTCTCTTTTTTGTAAGGCCAGTTGAAGATTTCTGCTATGAGAATGGAGAATGGTTACAGACCTGCAGATGGTGGAGTGAAATGTCTTCCTAATCTACAGTCACTAGTCTAGATTAATCCTTCCCAGTCCAGAATTGTTCACCTTGATAGAATAAAAGAAAGGCCATTACTAATTGATTATTATGATAAATAGAGTATGTTTATTCTGAATCATGATCATCACCAGATCACTTTTCACTGTAGATGAAGTGGTAATTTCTACATGTAAAACATTTGATATAACAAAATTGGGGAAAAAAAGAAAAGAAGGAAAAAAGGACTTCAATAGGAGTAATGGAGCATACCTTTCTGTTTCTAATCAGTCACTCAATCATCAGCAGGCCCAAACCCAAATGACACTATGAGTTTGTCATTTATCTCAAAAGAAATTTGCTGACATTTTGTTGCCAATAAGATTGCAGAGGATGTGACACCACCAGCAGCAGTTTTGAAGATTCTAACTCTTGCATCTGAAGTTATACCTGAGGCAAAGCTCTTCCCACAGAAAGATCTAGCAGAACTGGCATTCAGAGATGCAAGAAAAAGGAAAATGGTCGGTTTTCACTTTTATTTTTTGTATAGATGTATGTGAAGCTAAAATTGCATTAGAGACTAGTATTCCAGTCCTTACTTCAGTTCCAATAAAATGAATTTGTCATCGTTGAAGAACCATTTAAGAAATGATCAGACTGTCGTTTCACTGCCAATTAACCACCTTAAACATTGGTTTCTGAAGAGATGCAATAAATACTATGTTGACACCATGACAGAATTGATTGATATAAGTGATATAACTCTTGAACCGAAAAAGAAGACTTATCATTCTCATTCTTTTCCTGTTTCTTATTTAGCTTTTTCTAAGGGTGATCATGGGCCATGATGAGGCCAGGCTTTGGGCCTATACCACTAAATACATCATATTTAATGTATAATAATTATAATTTTTTTATTAAATGTAATATATGTATAGATATTTATTATAATTTATATAAATATAAACATTATGATTATGTATAATATATTGTGGCTGTGTCAAGCTAGAAATGATCACACCTAGCTTTCTCCCCTTGAAAAGATTTGAGTTATTCTGCTAATTGGCCTTTATGTTAGGCTGCCTACAATGTGATTGCATACTCTGATCAAATGCGGCTAAAGACTGCAGTTGAGCTTTTGAAAGCCACAAAAGATGTTGAGTCACAAGTGGAGAAGGTCAGTTTCCTTTCAAAGCATGTATCTTCATGTTTAGCATTTATGGTATAAGTAAACTTTGAAACTTGCATAAATCCAGTATTTCTATTAGGCTGAGGAATGAACCTCAAATCCTGCATCTATATATATGGCTTATGATTTCTTTATTCCTCTTAGGAATCACTTTAGCATATGTGGTATTTCATATTAACTGTCTTTTGACTTTTCTTAAAGCAGGGCATGTCCAAAGTATTACCCCTCATCTTTGAACTCTTCCTGCCCTAACAGTCTTCCCCCTACCTGCCAAAAGCTCTAGGGAACATATTATCCTTGTCCCTCAAAAATATTCATAAGAGAGATTATGTTGATGAATGTTGTATTTTGGATCAGTGGACCTTGTTCTGTAGCATTTGTCCTTTTATCCTAGATAAACAGATTATGTGGGTTTTACTTGGGCATATGTTGTTGATATTTAAATTTATGCATGCACTCTTCAAGTGAGGATTCTTCATTGAACTGTCTAGGTCAAGATACATTTATCCAACATAGTGGGGCAGAAATAGGAGATGTACAAGTATGCATACTACTGATTTTTTCTTTTTATTTATTTTGAAATTATGTGTTTGAAAAGCATGGAACCCCCCAGAATTATGAACATGGTTGTAGGGCTCTTTCTGAGTCAACAGTGATCAAAAGAATTTCAGAATGCTTGATCATTTGCTACAAAATAATTTCAAAACATGACTGTCTTAACATCATCATTGCTATATGGATAAGTTTCATTCCATTCATTTGACCAAACTGGAATTTATTTTGATGACATTCATTATTGTACCAGTACACAACATTATGATTGGGTTTGCATGTTTCTTTGTTTTATTATTTCTTTTTCAGGTTTCATCTCCACTGCTTGTTCTTCATGGAGCTGCCGACAAGGTGACAGATCCCTTAGTAAGCAAGTTTCTGTATGAGAAAGCTTCTAGCAAGGATAAAACATTAAAACTCTATGAAGAAGGTTTTCATTCCATTTTGGAAGGGGAGCCTGATGATAGGATTCTTAAGGTCCTAGATGATATCATCTCATGGCTTGATTCACGTTGTGCTCTCAAGTAGAATGATGCTTTTCTTTTTGATCCATTTGCGGGTTCCATGATGTGTTGTTATACTTTGTTCTACCATTTTTTAATACATCTTTTTCTTTGTATTATTGCTGGGCATTGGTGAGTGGACTTGGAAAAAAAACATTATAAATTTAAAATACTCATTTCAAAGTTGACTTGCAAAATGTTGTTTCAGATAGAACCCAAAAGAGGAAATATGGAGATTTATGATTCAATGCTTAACTGTATCATAGAAATATGATTTTTGTTCATTTGAGACCATTTATAATGGTATTTGAAAAAACAAGGAAAAGGGGAATAAAGAAACATATTGCATCTAAGCATGTTTGTCAAGACAGAACGGTGACTAAACAAGATGTTGTTATCGAAATGAATTGCTTTTCAGGTGCACGAGGCATCAATTTAGGCTCAGTATGGGAAGAGTACAAATACAAATATGTACAGTGCAAAACCTCAAAACCTTGTATATTGTATTTCTAAACCTTGTATTTGCACTCTTCCCATAGACAATATTTCTAAACCTTGTATTTGTACTGCTCCCAAGCTGAGCCTTGACAACATTTTAACTTAAATGCACAGTATAAGAAGAAGAAGAAGAAGCAGTACCATCAGTGGCCATGATCATCCATCTATATTTACAGAAAATAAAAAAACACAAGCATATACTTAGTGATAAGTGGGTTTATATTCTCCATCTATATTTCTGTAATATGAACCTTAACCCGAGGAACAAATTCCAGGGCCAATTCCCATCCAACAGAAAAAAGGTAGGAGATCTCCAATTTGAGTCCCAATAAATTCTTGCAGTGGGATCACCAGACTATTGAGGTCCATGTGATGAGCTAAGTCAGAATTTGCTCAAAGTGTATCTATGGAAAAGTTGAAAGTGCAACTAATTTGGTATTCCAAAATGGCAGCTTGCTTCAGTCAATTAATTAGTAGGAATGACCCCGTACTAAGTACGGACCATTAATCTGAATTATTTCAATTTTTTGAATTATTTATATTAGACACTTAGGTTAGCTTTTGATTTAAGAGACTTACCATGTTTTATCTAGAGAATGACCCCATATTAAGGAGAAACTACAGTATCATTTAATTTAAAATTTACTATTTAACTATAAAAAATTAAATTAGAAATTAACATGGGTCTTACATCTTTGTAATTGACAATCTATTCTGACCTACTTTGTTTGAAAATCACTATTAATTTATGTTGTTTTTAATATGATTTAAGAGATCAAATGAGGTCTTATTTGTAAGAAGCAACCCATTTTAATTGGTATTTACTATTTATTTGATAAATTTATTTTTAAAAGCTAAATTAGGTTACACTTCCAAAAAAAAGTTAAATCTAGTTTGCAATTAATAAACTATTTCATCTAAAAGAATGAAACTCACACTATTTGTATTAATTGTTTGATCATTTTTATGAATTTCATTTATTTTTATTTTTATCCACTTTCTACTGGACCGGGCTCAATAAGTCAATCAATGCATGATCTGAAGTCTCCATGTCACTATGATCTCAAACGTCAAGACTCAAGGCAAAGTCGTGTTTGGCGCTTATAGGAGTTGATGGAACCTCGGGGTTGGGAGGATAAGAAGGAACCCCATCATCTCTGCTTCATCCACTCAACCAGTAACCCGAAGAGGTGTTTCGGTTGTCATATACAGCGAGATAATGAACTGCAGCCATTCCATGATCACATGGCAACATTCTTTAAATGGCAAGCTAATTAAAGCCTGCCTTGTATTGAATTTGTGTGAAGTGCTATGTTGAATCTTATTAAATTAAATAATTTTTGGATTAAATTGAATCTTATCTCGTTGGATTCAGATATTATATTAAATTAAATTAAAAAAATATGATCAGATTATTAGTATACCCAACTAAAACTAACTTCTATAAATCTGAATAAATATGATCAGTAGCGGAAAAAAAGAACTAAAACTAACTTTGGAATTACTAATCATGAATTAATAACTTCTACAAATCTGTAAGTTACAACCCTTTAATAGCAATGCCGTCTTAAATTGATGGTGAATGGTGATATTCAAAGAAAGCATGCAAGAATGGTAGTTTGAGACTTTTCTTTGCCATTTCTGTTTATACCCGCAGGTTCAAGCAAGATTTTAGGCTGGAGAAGGCATAGAATAGATAAATATTCAGGACCCTTCTGTTGGCTTGTAGTCCCGATTCTGTTGCTAGTAATCCCTATTCTGTTGCTATTTTGTTTAACAATTTGAATAAGTCATGGTCAAGTTAGTTGAATCTTTCTAGCTATTTTAATGGGATATTTTCATGTACTCCAAATCTTTAGATTCTGTTAGTAATGGCAGAAGAATAGGAGTTTAGGTGGGTTTAACCTATTATAAATAGGCCATTAGTTCACAGTTTTTTTTCAGTGTAGTCACTTGTAATCTTAAATAAAAGTTCTTCTCATATCCTCTCGTACTTTGCTCCTGTTATTCTTTGTTCCTACGTTTGGTGCTGTATCACCTTCGTCTACAATGGACAAATGTTTGTATATTTGCAAGCAGATGCAGAAATTTTCCTTGGTGCGTAAAGACAGTACAGAGAATAAAGCCTTTAATCTAGAGAGAAACCAACATCTTGTTGTTTGGAATATAGTTACTAAAAATTGTATTGAAGCTCTTAAGAGTATCTAAAAACTTTGTCTTTTAGAACATTATTTGGCCCCAATTCAATAAATTGAGTTTATTATTACATTACAAGTAAATCCATTCTCAAGCTACAACAAAGCTCAGGTGAAAAACTACAAGTAATAAAGTTAAAAACTCTCCAAGGAAACCTATAAAATAACAATAATTCATATTGAGAGGGACAAATGCAGAGTACTCTGTATTTGTGTGTTAAAATCGTCTTGACTTGGGCATATGAAGAGACTTATTGTATACCATATCTTTTCCGCATCATAAATTTTCCCTATTGATGAGTATAAGAGAAGTCTTGCAAGTTTATAATGTGGGTCAAGTTGTACGTAATCGATCAATCAAATCCGAAGAAATCTAATCTCTGAAGAGATTCAAGTCTCAACACTTGCAGCATTATTTTCTGCTTACGATGGACATTGACCAATAGCATTAGAAAATATGAGAAAAACTTTGATTGTCCACGTTCGACAGCCCGTGCTGTTATAGGCTCTCTCCATGAATTAACGTCACGGAGGGAGACACCTGTGGACAGCACAGGCTGTCCAACATAGACAAGCAAAATAATTCCGCAATTGGATCAACAGTGGGGTGATCTCTTCCATCCACACATCCCATTGTGTCATGTGACTGAGCGGAAAGATCTACTGGCCAATCAAAATTTGATTTCTTCATTATTTTAAAGGAAAAACTTTTTTTTCATGCAAAAGAAATTTTCCCAGATTCTCCTGACTCTATGTTCTTTTACGATTTGATCTCCCAGAGGATCTAATTACACAGTATCTAATTAAAAAAATCCATTTGTATATTAAATTAATTACTCAAAAGAATATAATCCTGATTGATCAAAATGGAAATTTAAGCATAATCTGTCATTACCCTAATCTCTATAACAATAAAATACGCCTCTTCTGATAACCACCCAAGCTTACTTGGTTACAAACAAGGTGTCACTGATCAATGTGGATTCTTTCTGATGCTCCGTTCATCAAGCCAGGATATAATATCATCAAAAACTTGGAATATTGCATCATCTGGTTCGCCTTCAAGTAGAGCATGGAAAGCATCCTTGTAAAGACATAATTTCTTGTCTGAACTGCTTGCCTTGTCATACAAAGCCTTACTGACTGATGAATCAGTTATTGTATCAGCTTCTCCATGCAGGATTAATAGTGGCAAAGAGACCTGTGAAGTACCATAGATGTTCTAAGTTGCCCATGCGAAAGTACTATAACTACATAGACATTTATAAACTATTAAATAACAATATGTCCGAACATGAGGAGAACCTGAAAGTATTTTACATCATGGAAATGTTGCTTAAGACAGCTAAGTTCTAGTGGATGTTGGATATGCTACCCATCCCAACTAACATTTCTTTGTATACCAGTGCTCTGAGTGCATTAGCCATTCAACTTGTGATGAAGTGGCAGTAACTGATGTCAGACAGAGTAATGACAAACTGCTTCCAACTTACAATGCACTCAAATTATTCAAGAAGAAATATGCAACTTCCAAATGTTAAAGATTAAAATTCATCTCAGCACATATAGGAATCTCTGTAACGACTTCTACCAAAAATGATGAGTTTGTGATTTGCCAGAAGTTTAGATCAGACAAATTATTCAGGAAGAAAAACGCATTCCCAGATAATTTGTTAACATAATAATTGCAATGTGAAAGATGAAGGAGAAAGAAACATTAAACCCAAAAAAAAAAACGCAAAGGCACAGGAAGTAGACATACTTCTCCCAAACGGTATTCTATCTCTTGGGTTGTTTTAAGCAACTCTACTGCAGTTCCTAACCTTGGCTTATCCTTGTAAGCAATGACATTGTAGGATGTCTGTATTTGGCAAAAAAAAAGAAATACTTAAAGACATATATCGACAATACTAAGCATCAAAAACTCATAATAAACATGACATAAACATCATATTGCAACTAAAACAAGTATGCAAATGAGCACAGCTAGCAGGAGAATGCAAACAGAAAGCATACATAACAAGGTATCCTACTTCAAAAATCTTGTGCTAGAACTGGAAAATAGTGCATGCCAAAACGTTTTTCATTTTGAAAAAATGTGTTAAGCATAGGGACCTACCAGCTTTCTTTTATTTAAGTCTCTGAATGCCATCTCTGCCATGTCTTTTTGTGGTACTAGCTTCTCTTTGGGAAGAATTTTAGCTACACCAATTAGAATCTGCTTCACTAACCAAGGTGGAACCATATCCTCTGCAATCTGCTTATGAAATATTTAGTAAATTAAATGTACAAAGTACCAATAAGAAAACTAAATGTAGAAAACTGATAGATAAAGAGAGTCAAAAAGTTCAGTTCAAAAACATACTTTGCACATTGGTGCAAGAAGAATGGCACCATTCCATGCTTTAGGTTGTTTGAGATGCACCTTTAGAGCAACTGCTCCACCCATAGACTGTCCAAACAAGAAGCTTGGAAGGCTTTGGTACTCCGGGTTTTCTGTCGATCAAAATCCATAGGAATTAGGAAAAGAGCCTTTTCTCTAACCATTGATGATTACCTCTGTATTTATTGCCTAGTCATCTTGGATTTTTTAGAGGAAGAATGAAGGCATATGTATCATGCATGCACCAATACAAAAGCATCGACACCCACCTTGTCATTGTAATTTAGTCAAATGTAAAGTATACAGCCAGGTGCACAGTCTTCATCACTTTGGAGACCTGAAGGTTACCACTTGCATGCTAGAAAGTAGATATAATTTAGTTGACATAAAAGCCAACTAACCGACATACAATTGTTCTTTAACCTACATATGAATATATGATAGACAATAAACTTAATAAGGTTTATAAGCGGGTCTTGGGTCTTAGAATAACTTAAATAAATATTAATTTACTAAGGGCTTTAAAATAAGTTACCCTAAAAAAGGAATTAAAAAGGTTGGCACAAATTCAAGAGATTGATATGAAAGAAGAGATCTCTATCTTAATTGATGTGGATAGACAACTTCTAATTTGGCTTAGGAGTATAATAGGCTATTTCAAATGGAGGAAATCTCATGGAGACAGAAATCCAGCGCATTGTGGCTTAAAGAAGGGAATAACAATATGGCTTTCTTCCATAAAGTAGCAAATGCATGAAGATGTAATACAATCTCAAGAAAAGCTTGAACGTTTGGAGTTTAGCCAAACCTCACCGGCTGAAAGGGATTGGTTAGAAAGACATTTTGAAGAAAATGAAGTGCTGACTGCAATGAAGGAGCTGATTGGGGAAAAAGCCCCTGGCCTGGACGGATTCCCAATTGCATTCTAGAAGAGGTGCTGGACTATCTTGAGGAAAGACTTACAAGCCGGTTGCAGGATTTTCATGCAAACAAATATCTTGGAAGCAGCCAATGTGGCATTTATATTATTGACTCCAAAGATGCAAGGGACCTCTGACATCAGGGACTATTGTCCTATCAGTTTAATTGGGAGCATTTACAAGGTGTTGTCTGAAGTGTTGGCAAATGTACTCAGAAACATGTTGAAATCCGTTGTGTCTCCATCACAAGTCTCCTCTGTGGATGGAAGGCAGATTTTGGATGTTCTTGATAGCAAATGAATGTATTTGATTAAAGGAAACACCAAGATTTGGCAGGTGTAATTTGAAAATTGGACATGGAAAAGGTTTATGTGGATTGCTTATTGCAAAAAATAGCTTTTCGGGTGTTGAAGGGATTGAATAGAAGCATGCTTATCTTCAGTTGTGTTATAAATCCTAATAAATGGCAGCCCAAAAGCATACTTTGCAGGGGAACGAGGATTGTGTCAAAGGGATCCTCTCTCGCCATTCTCTTCATTATAGTGGCTGAGTTCCTCCCAATATTGGTAAACAGAGCTGTTGATGGTGAATATGTAGAAGGTTTCATCTTTGGAGAAAGCAGTCAATCTATTGCACTGCTCCAATTTGCAGATGATTCCATCCTGTTTTCAAGGGCTAGGCAAGAGGACATGATTTTCTTAAGACAATCATTTATTTATTTATTTTGAGGCAGTCTGAGTTGAAAATTAATTTGAACAAAAGTGAACTGCTTCCTGTTGGAGAGGTGCCAAATATTGGGGAGTTCACAGCAACCTTGGGCTGTAGAGGCAGATCCTTGCCTTCTATAGTATACTTGTGGGCCTACCTTTAGGCGCAACTTACAGATCAAAATAATTGCTGGTTCCTGTCATAGAGAGGATGAGAAGGAAGTTGGCAGGTTGGAAGTAAGGTTACTTGTCAAGGGGGGGAGTGGCACTCATTTAAAGTGCTTTATCAAATCTGCCAGTATACTGTCTATCATTGTTCAAAACTCCAGCTTCAGTGTGAGCTCAAATGGAGAAATTGAGAAGAGATTTATTATGGGAAGGTCTCAGTGATGAAAAACATTCCACCTTGTAGCCTGGTCCAAAGTGTCCAGCCTAAGAAACAAGGAGACCTAGGCATACAATCTCTCTCATATATGAACCAAGCCCTGCTGGGGAAGTTGGAAAGGCATTATGAAAGGTAGCAATCTGTTCTCTCATTTTACCAGATTTGCACCTGGTGAAGGGAATCACATCCCTTTTTGGGAATCCAAGTGGTGTGGGATAGGGGACTAGTGTGGTGCAAGTTGGGCTGGGTTAGGTAGGATTGTAGCCCAACCTGAGGATTTGAACACCCCAACCACCAACCAAACCTAGTCAACCTTAACCTAATCTAAAATCCCTCAACCCTAACCAATCCAACCCAAAATTGACATTGGCCGGGTCCAACCTGCCTTTCTCTCATCTTCTTAAAATCTCATATACTGTTCCAAATTTTCTTAATCTTTGACTAAAAGACCTACATTGAACTTCTATGACCATAGACTGACCATATTTTTTTTATTGGTATTTGTTTGTTTGACGTTTTTATTGGTTTATTTAGTACAAAAGTGAAAAAAAATGGAATGTTTTAAATGATCAGAGCCTACTATGAATTGTAATAGATATTCTATTGAAAATCATGAAATTAGTAATAATAAAACATAAACTTAAAGAATGAAAATAACTAATGACAACTTGTCATTAGGGTCGGGACTTAAGAGTTAAGAAAAATTGATATGATTGTATGTAACAGGACTATAATAAACATGTACCATAGCAAGAGTAGAGTCGGATTAGGGTTGGGTTGGGTTGGGTTCCCCAATTTGGGAATAGAATTATCTCTGATTAGGTCATTGGAAGTAGAGAAATTAGCTCCTTCCAGGTTTAAGTGCTTCTAACTGGGTCCTCATTAACACGATTATTAATGACTCTATTTTACTATGTTTGCCTTGAGAGGTTGTAGAGAAGATGGGCCGAATGGCCCATAGGCTATTTATCCTTTTTATCTTTTATGTTCTTTGCTGTAATGGGCCTTAATTTGGGCTTTATTCTTTCTTATGTTATGTTTTTTTAATTTTCTGCCCAACTAGGGGCTTCTCTGTAAATTACTAAAGTTTAACTTAATGAAATAGAATTAAGGGAGTAAGAGAAGGAATTATGTTTGAAAATCTCTCTCTGAACCCAAGTTGCCGCCACCTTCTTCTTCTTCTTCTCTCCTCTTGAACTCTGATTTCTACTACTTTCTTTTGAATTTTTGCAACTTTTTAAACAGTCCTTTCTTCTCAAAAGGCTGTTTTTCTTCTTGGTATCAGAGCAGGCTCGTTTTTCCCTTTTTTTCACATTTTTTTCCCATACACAATGTGTATGGAGAACTGAATCGTATGAATAGTTAAAGAAACCTATTTCAGCCCAGTTGTTAGTGGTTTCTGGAGAGAAGGGGACTAGTTTTGTCGTCCTCTTGACAGATTCAAGTGTGTTACCCAAAACCCTAATTTTCTGGAGAAATCTGATTGTGGGCCCCACAGGGAGTTTGACCTGGGCGCTCAGTGACTGAAGGCCTTCTCATTCTTCGTCTTGAAGATCGAATCAAGTGGATTGGTGTTCTGTGAAGTCTACAAGGAGCGGCTGAGTTTTCTCTGTTTCTCCCAGCTTCCGGGTGTGACGCAAGTTATTGGTACGGCTGCATAGAGGTTGGCTCACAACACAGTTTTTGTTTTGTCTTCATTTGTTGTTATTCGAAGTTATTTGAAGTCATTTTTGAAGTRTTTAAGAAGATGAACTCCTCTGACTTTGAAAACAAGCATGTTGCTGAATCCGGACAAGTTCTGGGAGCCTTTGTAGACTCTCTACTGGCTGTGACCAYAGTCAAGCTGGATGGAACTAATTATCTGGCTTGGTCACAATCAGTAAAAATTCATATTTGTAGTAGAGGCAATGAGGTTTTATCTCCGGGAGCAAAAAGGCTCCTCTGGAAGATGATCCATCATATGAAAAGTGGATGCAAGAAAATTATACTGTTATTG